TATTTGGTGAGTTTTGCGATTCTATTATCTTAAAATCAATAGATACAAATATTTAACTAATTTTTTATATAAATTATTCATTGTTTCTATGTAGTTTTCATTGTTTTCATTTTTGAATATTCTTTGAAAATTAATATACAAATTACATTTACATACCCAAAAGCATATGAAAATCAACAAAATAATAAACTTTGAGCCTCCATAACTTTTCATGGGGGTGAGACCGCCGCAAAGTTTTTATGGTAAAGTGGTGGGGGAGACCTCCTTTTTCAATCCCCCTGCCCCCACCCCCGAAGGGGATAATCTAGACCTTTACCTAATATTTTTATTTAATTACTTAGGATCATAAGATTGCGGTACGAAGAGACTACTAAATTAGAGGTGAGATACTTATCAAGACCTTACCTTTTTCTGCATTATCTTGTATTCAATTTGAGTTTTATAAATTAATTATATTGCTGCTTCTGCATGCGGTTATGTTATGTTATACTTTTTTATTTTAGCACCGTGCGCGAGTGCAATTCGTTCAAACTCATCCTGCGATTTAGGTCAAATAAATGTGCGGGTGGTGCGCGCGCCATCGTACCGACGCTGTGGTTTGAACAATCGCGGAAACCAGCCAGCGTCGTCGATCGCGTAAACTGCGCAGACTCGCAGCGTTTTGTACGCACCGTATATTGTTGCCGTTTCGATTTCGATTGTTGTCGTCCGCGAAGTTGGTCATTTCTTAAACCACCAAGATTATACGCTGGTACCTAACTAAATATAAAAAAACAAGATTGTCGTGTTAGTGTGACAGAAGATTTCTTACTACAGAATCGTGTGGTTTTAAACTGGTGTGAGAGGTAAGCATATTACATCTATTTTTTATTATTAAAGCATTTAGATAATAGTGACTACTTTCCACAAAAAATATTAGAAAAATTAAAGGTGCTTTTTAACAAAAATACCAGTAAATTTATTATTTTTTTATGACTGATAATTGGTATTTTCTTAAAAAAAATCGCAACCAATTCAATTCACACATATAATTAATTATTGAATCACTATAAATTAGAACTTATTAAATTTTTTGAAGGTTTTATACACATTCGAAAAATAATTCCCTTTCTTTTAGTCATAATAAAAAATGAAAAAGTGTTCGCATCTCCTTTATTTGTATTTATTTTTATAAATCCTGGTTACATCAGTAGCTAGATATAAAATGTTTGATTTTGCAACGTTATATTATACCTACCTGAAAACGCAATTCGTTATTTTTATGTTACATCACTAATCGTTAAGTATTAAAATTTTTAAGGTGTTTGACATTTGAAAATGTCCGCGTAATTTAATATACACACACAGAAAAGTGAAAGTTGAGAAATTTGCCACGTGCTCTTTTATAGATCGTTAGTTACATTAATTAGGAAAGCAGTACCATCATCAGCATTTTATCATTCCCGGCTTAAGTAAATTCAAACTTGCGCTTCAGCAATTATGGAAAAGGCAGTTAATAGTTATTACACAATTTCTCCAATATTAAATCGAGTCCACTATTTTTGCTTTTAATTAATGCCGTGGGTGGATTATCAATAATCTAGTGCACATTGAGAGTAACTGTCATACGACCCACTTTTATCAACGCCCACTTATTTTCTATTTAATACGTGGTTTTCGAAACCTTGTACAGTGTTTAATTTTGATGAATGTGATACCTCAAATAGTATTATACAATCGCTTACAGCATTTTTAACTGATTTATTTTATCAATCGGTGCAATAAACGATATTCGCACTTTGTTACGTACGATCCGAGATATAATTACTAGATGGAAAGTACACGATCCAACCAAATACATATATATATACGGTCGACTTGATAAAATGTATTTTTTTTCTCTAAAATAACTACAAGTCTTGAATAGGTATTTAAAATATTATTTAACTGGTTTATAATCTGTCCAACATATGAATTAAGTGTCAATCACAAGAAAAGTCTACAAAATAATCAGTTTTTCGAGAAATTCTTCTAGATATACAAAATAGTTAATTTTTCTTAATTAATTTTAGTGAAATTAGTTACCACTGGACCTGTTCATTGCGTAAATTATATTATATAAACTAGTTTTTCCCCCAAATCAGTCACTGTGATGTCGAAACTATTAGCACCATTGCTTCGAGTGTTCGAAATTCACTTTTGTGAACAATTTGTTTGATCACTTTCTTTGTGTTAAAAATTGTTTGAAAAATTAAATTTAAAGGAGTTGTTTGTAACGCAACACATCGTACACTTCAGCATAAGAAATTGCTGATACTAACCACATAATATTACTTTGCCCTGTGCTGACAGCACTCATAACTTCTTTTATATATAATTATCATCATCATCATCATCATCATCATCACAGGGTCGTCAGTCCTAAGACTGGTTGGACACGTACCTCCACTCTTCCCTATCCTGAACTGAACTTCGCATTTCCCTAGAACTAGAACAACCCACATCCTTAACTATTTGTGAACAGTAATCTAACCTAGGTCTACCTCTACCCCTCCTAACTCCTGTTTCTGCCTGTAATATGTCTGAATAGACCTTCATGCCTGAGAAGTTGTCCTAGCAACCTATCTCGCCTATTTTTTATTGACTTCCATACAGTCCTCTGTTCTCCTATTCTTTTTAATACCTCTTCATTTCTAACCTTTTCTACCCACTTTATCCTCATCATTTGCCAAACCACCACATTTCGAAGGCCTCTAACCTTGCCTTTTCCGCGGCGCCCACTGTCCATGTTTCGCACCCGTACAACGCCGCGCTCCAAACATACACCTTTAACAACCTTTTTCGAATTTCTAAATTAATCGTTCGCCAGCATAGAAGTGACTTCTTTTTATTAAAGGCGACTCTACCTTGCGCTATCCTCTGCTTTATATCCCTACAACTCATTCCGTCCTGACTTATCTGACTTCCTAGATATCTAAAATCAGCCACTTCTTCTAATTTTTCGTCTCCTATCTTTATATTCGCTCTTTCTCTACTTTTGCTTCCCTTGCATACCACTATTTTAGTTTTACTTTTATTTATTTTCATACAGTACTGATCTGTCAGTACCGTTTCCATTTTATTTAAAGCTATCTCTAGGTGCACATTAGAATTGTTTTTTTAATTGTATATTTTGTAGTTTGATTATTCCATGATTATAACTAACGAATTCCCTAATAAAACTTCTTGCAAGACTCTCTTGTTTTATTCGAGAATCTAGTGTTCATTATTTTATTATTATACTTATATTTATTTTAAGGTTGCATACGGCGCAGCGGAAGCGGACGGTTTGTTATGTTCCAAAATGAGCAACAGTGTTTAGGACCATCCACAGGTGGAAAACTAGGACAAGAATAACCCGAGGTGGCAACTCCGATCGATATAATACTGTCCTTACCTTGCTTTAGTTAGCTGAGGAAAGCAGAAGTCGCACGAGGCTGGGATTTTGTTTTGAGATCTTCTTCGTCTTTTGCTAGTGATTGGTTGTTTTGCGCACCGACAATGTATCTTCCATTACCTTCCTTTTAATGACAATAAACGTAATAATAGAAGCTTACTCAAACAGAAACGAAATCACTGATTCGCGCAATACAATTACAGCGGTTGTTTTCCTATCCTGTTTTTTTCCCTACCTCTACCGACCACTCTCGATCAATTGAATTTTTTCATTTTGAAAGCACAAAAAATAATATGAATAACGTTAATGTGAGAAACTTCCAGGAAACATAAATAAATAATTAATCTTTAATCCTGTTATGAAGGATATTAAGTCCTTTGTCAGCAATTATCGAGCCCGCCAAAAGTAGGTCGCGACTTCCAACTTTTTGGTTCTCATCAACACGCTGCAGAGTGTGGATTAAATTAAACAAGAAACGGATTGATTACATGATTCTTCTTGTTGATTTCTTTAGATATTTACATGCTAAAGAAATTGCTCTGATTTTTGTGGACAAANTTATAACTACAAAGCATCCTGATTACTTGCAGAACATTCCTTCATCGAGTATCTTTTAGACAGTTGCATCCTTACCCTCCGGCAACTTCCTAAAAATTTACTTTTTTTTATCTTTAACAAGTTTTTCAAATGAAGTATATTACATTATGTTCTTCCCAAAAGCAACATTTATTAATTATTGTCACTGATAAGATCAAGGATGTACTAAACTCTAACAGTAAAAGGCTGAAAAAAACGTGTTACTTTATTTCTCAATTTAATATGTTGGTAAATCCTATGATTTATACAAGTAAAACCTATGATTTACTAATATTTGTCCTTTTACAGTAACATATTTAACCATTGTATCTGCTGAAATCCATAGATGTGATTTATTTAAAATACTTGCATTTAAAATGCAAATACAAAATAAAAAAATGTCTATTTTTATCTTGCATTTAAATACTTTTTTGAGAAAAGCATTTTATATTTTATTTAAAATATCTTTCCAAACAAGTTTTCTATTTGTAAAATGCAAAATACATTTTTGCCGTTAAAAGTTTTGCTAGTATCACCAATCAAACATTATATAAAATGAATGAAAGTTGCTCACATTGGCCATGGAAGGTATTACAACCTTAAAAAGAGGACAAAGAGACATTCCATGAATGCCTTCCAATTCTTTGACTGAAGAGAGCCCAAAAAATTCTAAACTCCTTGGAAATGGACAATCTAAAATATTGGATCGATATTGTTTTCTGGGTTCAATGTCATGGTCCGTGGAAATTTGAACTTCCAAATTGATATCAGTATCTACCAAATCATTAGTTATCGTACCTTTAGCAAGGAATTACGAAATTGTATGAATTACGTCAGAAAGCCCCCTCAAAACAATATCGAATTGATATACGTCAGCTGTATAAAACTGTATATTGTGGTGTGCTAATAAATGCGTATAATTTAAAATTCTTAGAAAACGATTCGAAAAACTTCACTTATTAGATGAACCCAAAGCTAAAGAAACTATGGATTCCATTTCTTTCTCTGATTACAATGTGTAAAAGATCAGAAACAAAGTGAGGTTGTAAATATTTGATATAAAATAATTGATGTTGATTTTACATCAATATAATTATAACCCTACTTTGGCTCTGATCATTCACGGCAAACAAAACTATTTTGGCATCAGTGTCTTTTTTCCGATTAAAACGGTGTCAGACGGAACTCGGATTGCGTCGTTTGTAAAATTTCATAAAAATCTCCGTCAAATTAGCAGGTAGAATTTGTCTATGAAAATAATATTCTTGTTCATCATCATACGGTCGTCAGTCCTAAGACTGGTTGGATACGTACCTCCACTCTTTCCTATCCTGAGCTAATCTTCGCATTTCCCTAAAACTAGAACAACCCATATCCTTAACCATTTGCGAACAGTAATCTAATTTAGGTCTACCTCTACTCCTCTTAACTCCTATTTCTGCCTCTAATATGTCTCTGACTACACCTTCATGCCTGAGAAGATGTACGACGTATTTCTTATTATTATTATCTAAAGGCCGTCGAGTGTTGGAGTTGTTTCTTAACGTTTCGCTAGCACGAGTGGCGAGTTTCTTATTATTTTGGCTTTTATATGTGTAAGATTATCAAAGAATTAGTAAAATGAATTTACTGGGTCAACTAATATGGGATGAGGCTCGTACATGAGAACGACCATCCTTTAATATGAAATTAATTAATACGAATAAATTGATAAACTTTTATTTTCATTTATTTCGATTTCGTCAATCTCATATACGTACACATACTTTATTATTAGATTTAAATAGATACCTATGTATGCTGCCAACAAAGAGATAATTTTAGATGGTATTTTCATTTATCCTACTAAAATTA